TTGGATCCCATACAATGAACCCTCCGTAGGGATGGTCGCTCCAGGACGACAGACAGGTCGTGTATGAAATCTCACGATGCAAACCAATGCAGGAGACCGTAGGATGTGTTGTCACACGACCTTCTCCCACTTACTATGAATACTATCTCCATTCACCTCGATATTCAACCATGCAAACACCTTCCGTATGGAGGCCGCGAGAAGTTGTTAGGTAGAGGTGTTCCCTTATGGTCATCTTAAATACCTCAACCTAGATAGAACCTTCCTTAGATAGGGTTCCCTTATAGGCAATATTTTATATTTAGTTTTTTATCATTTCATTTTAAACCCAGTTAAAACAAAATAAAAGACTGCCCCTAATCTTATTAGAAGATATAACCTAAGGTCTAATTAATTTTAAACCCCTTTAAAACTAATTAACATAGACCTTATGTTTCCATGCAATTATTTATTATAGATTTTAATTTCTATCTACCAAATTTTATAACTCTTATAAAATTTAAGATTTTGATACTATAATCATGCATTGCAAGCATACATTAATATAACAATTATATTAATTAAAGTAATGTCATGCCCCACGCAACTTTATTTCCATCTAATTAATACAACACTTATATTAATCATGAAAATAAAACATCCATTCATACACTATAACATTTATAACTATATGATGCATGATTATAAATACATGCTATATATCAAATATACATATTATGCATGTAACCTATGGTGGGATTTTAAAAGTATATGGCATACAATATGCAATATACATTTAATTAAAATACACATTCATAATGCATAAAATAATTAAATAACAATGTTTGACCAGATTTTGGCACCCTAAGAAAGAAAAATAAAACAAAAAAATAAGACAACGCCTGCAACCACTCTCGAATCGCAAACCGGAGCAACGAAATCATGTCGAAAAATGATCTTCCTTACTATCCTCAGGGTGCGACGATCTCGCTTGTGGGAGCATCGGTTTGAAGCGTGAGGGAGAATTGAGTGAGTGTGATTGAGAGGAATGCTTGAGAGAGAGTTATTCGATTCTTAGCATAACCTTTTCTGCAAAAACCAAACCAACAGCCTGTGACGTCGGGAGTTACCAAATGTCACTTAACAATATACTAGGTATATATTTGATATATCCGTGATATACAAGCGGATAACGTTTCGTGAATAACCTAAACGATCTATAGAATATGGATAAGGCTGGGTATCTTATCATGACAACACTATGGATACAACCCACTCTATAAATGTTATTGACGACTCGATGCTGGTCGTTCGTGTGGAGACATGCAAGTGGGGGTATCCTAGACAATGAGTTTGTATAAGACCGGACCGCAAAATAGCCAATCTTTAGATGTAATACCGTTAACTAACAGATTGCTATTTCTTAGGATGACCAGACAACTCATTCTCATTCTTGAGTGAGTTATAGACTTCTGCCCGTTAGGGCTAATCTTTTGATATGCATGGGTGAGAGTGACCCGAAACGCCGACTCAATATTCCTACCATTTTGGGGACGAGACCGAGTGGGGAGCTGGGAACATAACTTCACAAGATGGAATTCAATCCTCCCCGACTTTTGGGAGTAGATGAGTGTTCTCTTAAATGCTGACTTTGGGACTTGAACAAGGGGCCCCACCCTCTCACTGGCCTAAAAGGGACTTTCGGTTATTGGTCGGACCATAACCGAGTTGTTCATTAGAGGAGCAGTGGTATTTAAGGAGCAAGATGTATCCAGGGGTAAAACGGTAATTTGACCCATCTGTGGTTACGGGCACTTGTGAAGGATCGATTTGTCATTAATGGTCGTATATCCATGGACACGAAAACATTCTGCAGTGAGAAGAGTGCAACTGCGGGACATTAGTGGAGTGACCAGTAGTCAACGAATGTTGATTAACTCGGTCAATGAGTTTGACCAATTAATCTCGTATCGTTGGAGCTTCTGATTTGTAGCTCTATTAGGTCCCCTTGCTGGCTCATAACGGATAAAAAAAAATCAAGTTTTTGGAAGAATTTGAACCGTTTAAATTGCTTAAAGGAATATATGTATATTGATACATTATAATATATAGTTAATTCTAAATTAAAACTATATATTTTGAGAGAAATTATTTGAATGAGATTCAAATAAAATTAATATGAATAAGATTCATATGAAAACTATAGGTTAAAAATAATGTGCATAAGATGTACATTACAACTATAGGTTATACGAGAGAAATGCTATAGAATATGATTCTATTTATGTAATAAATAATTAAGTGTTGATTATTTATTTGATATATATATATATTAATTGATTATTAATAAGATTAATAATTAATATATATATATATATATATATATATATATATATTAATTGATTATTAATTAGATTAATAGTTGATTAACATTTTTTAATTAATATGATTAATTAATTAATTATATAATTAATAATCAATTAATATAAATATATATATGAATTATTAATATTAATATTAACACTCTCTTGCTTAATTGCAGGGGAGTGAGGAACAGTTATGACGTGGGCAGAACTCCCCACGTCATGGGTAGTTATTGCACAATGGTTCTGCGAGATAACCATTCCCCAACGAAGAAACTCTCTCGAAGAACACACTCTCAAGCTCTCTTGTTCCAAACCAATTACTCCCACAAGCACGATCTCGGTACTCAAAGGATAGCACGGAAGATCATTTGGTGGTGTTCGGGAGATTGAATCGTTGAAGAAGAGTTCTTCAAAGGTAAGGAAAAACATTTTCCCCTGTATTTTTATCTTTGCACCTTTGATTTTGTTTTCTCAAAATTGATGAACAAAGATCCGCTTCCGCTCCAGGATTCACATCCCATCAATTGGTATCCAAGCGAAGTTGATGTTCTGATTTTTTGGGAGCAAAATCGGTGCTCTTGGTAGGTGTTTTCATATTTTTGAAATATGGGTTTGCAGGTTGGAAAATTTTCGTTTTTTGGCATGTAGATTGCAATTTAAGTCTTGATTTGATCATGTAAGGGCCCGGTGTTTTGGGCATTGAGATCTTTATCAAGTCTGTAAGTCTGGGCCGCTCGAAAGTTGTTCGTGGCGTCGGATTGGGCGAAAAGTTGCAGAAAACAGCGAAGAAGACGAAGCAGGCCGCGCAGATAGTGCCATGGCGCTGCAGGGACAGTACACAGCGCAACGGCGTTGGATTGTAGCACTGCGGTGCTGTGCAGCGCCATGGCGCCATGCCTTAGCGACGTGGCGCTGCTGCTGTGGCTTTCTCTTGCAACAGCACCGTGGCGCTACCCTTAGTCTCCGAGGCGCTGTCCCGGGTGTTTTTCGACGTGTTTCCGTGGCTCCGATTCGCGGTTTGAGGGCGGTTGGGTTGTTTTCTTAATTTTTTTTGTATTATTTTGCTTTGTTTAGGTGTCAAAAACCGGTCCAACTTTGCTATTTAATTATTTTATGCATTATGAATGTGTATTTTAATTAAAAGCATATTGCATATTGTATGCCATATAGGTTTAAAATCCCACCATAGGTTACATGCATAATATGTATATTTGATATATAGTATGTATGTATAATCATGCATCATATAATTATAAATGTTATAATGTATGAATGCATGTTTTATTTTCATGATTAATATAAGTGTTGTATTAATTATATAAGTGTTGTATTAATTAGATGGAATAAAGATGCATTGATCATGACATTACTTTAATTAATATAATTGTTATATTAATGTATGCTTGCAACGCAGGAATATAGTTTCAATTTTTTAAATTTTATAAGAGTTATTAAATTTGGTAGATAGAAATTAAAATCTACAATAAAGAATTGTATGCAAACATATGGTCTAAATTAATTAATTTTAAAGCGATTTAAAATTAATTAGACCTTCGATTATATATTCTAATATGATTAGGGGGTAGTTTTTTATTTTGTTTTAACTAGGTATAAAACGAAATGATAAAAGACTAAATATAAAATATTGCCTATAAGGGAACCCTGTCTAAGGAAGGTTCTGTCTAGGTTGAAGTATTTAAGATGACTGTAAGGGAACACCTCTACCTGGGAACCGACCTGGGGGTTGAATTAGTCAATATTTTATATGCATGCAATAATGTGCTTAGTTTATTAAATCGTTTAATAAACTAAAACATTAATGTACAACTACCAATATAATAGTTATATTGGGCTGACTAAAAATTCATTTAGTTAATTTCACTTAGCCGGAATTTATCTAAGTAATATACTCTAGTCTTAGAATACTAGGTGGGAGCAAAAGAGAATATGTAATATACTACGTATGTATTTGATACACAAAGTATATATAACATACTTTTCTCTCTCTCTCACGTTTTCCTTTACATTCATACTGTGAGTTCCATGCTCGGCCTCCTGTCGCCCTGAGCGTGGTCTCCCTACGGAAGGTGTTTGCATGGTTGAATATCGAGGTGAATGGAGATAGTATTCATAGTAAGTGGGAGAAGGACGTATGACAACACATCCTGTGGTCTCCGCCATTGGTTTGCACTGTGAGGTTTCATACATGACATGCGTGTCGTCCTGGAGCGACCATCCCTACGGAGGGTTCATTGTATGGAATCAAAACCAAGGCAAACTCCACAAATGGATAAGGGTCTCGTAGGTTTTGCTCAAATATTTTCCTTCCCTAAGGCGGGATTATTGGGGCAGACCTCTGAGGTCCGAAAATGATGGTTCACACTTACAAGAGTTGTTAAGTTAGTTAGCAATTTCCTGACCAAATAAACGATGACTAAGTTTATAGGAATAAGAGTTATTCTTGTGTAAAATTTAGTTGAGAACATCTCAATTCAGGGAAGGAGTAGCTGTCTGCCCTACGGTAGCTGTTGCTCTAAATCACTGAAGCGTCATTGCAAAACAATTTTGTTAGAGTGCTTAATTACTTGTGCTAAAATATGATTGGGTTTAAAGGATAATGCAGGAAACTAATATAGCTTTGTTTTAACTTTCAGCATGTCTACTTCTATTATTACACTCCTAGTCGCGCAAAAACTTAACGACGAGAATTACAAACAATGGAAATCAAATATAAACACTATTCTCATGATAGATGATCTTAGGTTCGTCTTGCAAGAGGATTGTCCTCAAGCTCCTGCACCTAACGCCACTGTGGCGGTGCGCAACATCTATGATAGATGGATCAAGGCCAATGACAAGGCCAAGGTTGACATCTTGGCGAGCATATCTGATGTGCTTGCTAAGAAGCACGAGAACTCGGTCATCACTAAGGAGATCATGGACTCACTGCAGAGCATGTTTGGACAACCGTCCTCACAGGCTCGACATGAAGCACTTAACTCTATTTACAACTCCCGCATGAAGAAGGACTCCTCAGTGCGAGAACATGTTCTGAACCTGATGGTTCACTTCAACGTGGCAGAGTCAAACATGACTGTCATAGACGAGCAGAGTCAGGTCTGCTTCATTCTGGAATCTCTTCCAAAGACTTTCCTGCCATTCTGCAGCAATGCGGTTATGAATAAGCTGGAGTACACTCTTACCACGCTCTGGAATGAGCTCCAAACTTACCAGTCTCTTATGAAAAGTAAGGGATAGGAAGGTCAGGCAAACGTTGCCACCTCGAAAAAGTTCCACCGAGGTTCGACCTCTGGAGCCAAGTCTGTGCCATCCTCTTTTGGAAGTAAGACTTTCAAGAAGAAGAAGGCCACTGGTAAGGGGCCTAGACCTGACCCCACTGCTGCCACTGCCAAGAAAGGTAAGGCCAAGGTTGCAGAGAAACGAAAGTGTTTCCACTACAATATGGACGACATTGGAAGCGCAACTGCCCAAAATACTTGGCCGAAAAGAAGAAAGCCAACGAAGGTAAGTATGATTTACTTGTTTTGGAAACATGTTTAGTAGAGAATGATGACTCCACTTGGATACTGGATTCAAGAGCCATTAATCACGTTTGTTCTTCATTTCAGGAAATTGATTCTTTGAGGCAGTTTGACGCCAGAGAGATGACTCTCAAGGTCAGAATAGGAGAGGTCGTCTCAGTTGTGGCGGTAGGGGAGCTCAAGTTGTTTACAAACAAGAATATGTATATATTATTAGATAATGTGTACGTAGTTCCTATGATTAAAAGGAACTTAATTTCAGTTTATTGTTTGTTAAAACATTTATATTCCATTTCTTTTAATTTAATGAAGCGTTCTGATTTGAATATGTATTCAAATCAAATACAAGTAAACTCAAGCTTCATTCAAGACAAAAGCATCAGTTATGGATTTCAAGTTCATACTACATTAAATGAGGCTTCATTTAATCTTTTAGGGTTACAAAACTCTTGGTTTGCTGATTTAATATTTATTTCCGGATTTATGGTGTATTTTTAAGTATTTTAAGTTTTAATACTTTCCATTTACTTTTTAGGTTACATTTAGTTAATGGTTGTTTATGGCATTGATGGAGTTAAATGTTCCAACCCTTCACATGCCCATATGTTACTTTTAAGGACTATTTTGAAGGCTATATATAGCCATGTATGTCAGCTTAGAGAGGATAGAATATAGATTTTGATGATTGAATGAAAGTTTCTATTTTGCTTCAAAAAGCCTAGAGCTTGTTTTTCTTTGCAATTCTTGAGTGTTAGATTTGCATGCTAGAATCGTTCGAGTATTCTTGATCAAGCTATCTTGTGGACTGGTTCGAATCTTGAGTTTTGAAACAAGTTTTCTCTACTCTTGATATTGATCATCAAGGTAAATTCGTTTTAACTTATTCCTTTGGTTGAAATCATCTTGATTTGGGGGTTTTAGCATTTGTGATCTAGGGGTTTGCATAACCATAAGGGTTCTTAGATTCAATTGGCTATTGTTTTCTTAACATTTGGTATCAGAGCTGTAGGCTCAAGATCGGATATATGTTTCCTTTGCGTTTTTGTTCAATCTATCTTTGATTTTCTTGTTATCTCAATTTCATAACTTTTCGTATTCTTTCAAAAAGCATAAAAAAGTCATATTTCCGTTCATCTTTTGATTTCTTTGCCTTCTACGTTTTTATAGATCTCTTTTTGCTCTAAAACATTGTATTTTGCGACTCTTACCAGTTCTGATATCTTAATGGTGAAAAACGTTCATTTTCATAATTTGTCATAAAAATCGGTGAGCATGTTCTTCATATGTTTGTCTTCCATTCTTCTTTTGTTCTCCATGTTAGATGTTATTTCAGCAAATTAATCTCTGATTGGTGTTTACAACTAGCCAATAGCCATTTAATATCATTGGTTACACTTTGATGCATTAATTGTCCTAGTTGGTGGACATTAACTTGGGAGGTTACACTTTTGCTATTTATTCCAGTATTTAATTAATCTCATTTTGTCATCTTGTTTGATTTATTAGTTTCTTTCCATAAGTCAAGTTAGCTTGTTTATGTTCTAAGTGTGCTACTATATATTGGATTGCAAACTATTATGGCTTCTCCATTTTAAAATTTGAGAGCAACATATCACCAAAGAGAAAGTCCATACAAATTCATGTCTCCTCATGGACGACGACGTCGTGAGAACCACTATAGTACAAATCCATATGCGAAGGAATTGGCCGAGATTCGCAAATGCATAAATTCCCTCAATGAATTGTGTCAAGAGTTTAAAGTGATATAAGACGACATGAAGAGGGATGAAGACATGAAGAGGCATGTCGCACAATCCGTTCAAACAGAAGAAGAATGTACTATGCCACATGAGGATGACCAACCAATTCAACAAGAGGAAGATCATCCTACGCTCCACGTTGAAGTTTCCAATTGTGAGGTCATTACACAAGTTGTGGAAAC